GAAGATACTTGAGTATTTTCGACTGAAATCAAAGTCGCATTTCTGGAGCTTATCGCAGAACCAAGCCAAATAAACTAATGCAGGGTTCTAACTGGTTTCGATCTGTTGCGGAAGTGTGGTTCCTATCACCTCTATGACAAAAATACGACGGATGTGCTCATCACGTGGACAAATACAAATTTCGACATTCTTCCTCAAGAATGCTTGAAACAGATAGCCAAATTATGTACAATCATACTGTGGAATGTCAGCTTTACGAACTAAACGGTGGTACAGTAGAGGTACACAACGAGTCAGAGGCTTCCATCCAGAAGCGTCCCAGTATGAAGTTTAAGTTTTCCTTTAAGTTTCATGATGATCTCAAACACGTGATGCGAAAAGGGAATAATCTTAATGAACCTTGCAGTAAATTACTACGGGATGTTATCATTGAGTAGGGAACAAACTTACTGAGGAAAATTATCACCGTCAACACAAACTGCCTGTACGAATTGCTACTTTCTAAAAAAAATCCTACTTTCGTTTGGTAATGGAGAAAAGCCATTTTTTGACCAACGTTTACGTTTAGATGTCACACGGAACAATTTTTCGATTAAGCTATTGTTAGTCTTTTTCACTTGTAAATTCAGTCATCCAGTATAAAGACCTATAGATAATCAAATCATTAAATATTTAAATTTCATAAGTAGTCAAAAATATGAGACATATGTTATTTTCAGCATCGTTCTCATTGGCGGGGAACACTGAAGCCTTCATTTCACCATAGCAATATATGTTCTTCTGCTTTCTAATTGAATAATATCCACAGACTCGAATGAGGTACCAGTGGATTATTCCTAATGTAGCTCTAGTTCCCAAATAGAGGTGGATAAAGGGGTATTTTCCGTTGCGATCATTCACTAGGCTCAAACCCATATTATGACTCCATGCGCATTATGTTATATTGCACCAGAGCGATACGGGTGTTGAGCTAGTAGACAAGCGCGCCTCACAGAAATTTCCAGCGAATCCTCGTTAGACACTC